AGCGCTGGCATCACACAGTTGGCATGGAGGGGAGATAGCAGGGAACAGGGGAGGGAGGGGAGCTGGAAGGGGAGGGGGGTTATGAACTGAAGGAGTGGGGGGAAAGGGATGCAAACTTCTGTATTGTCGTCATCCCCACCCCCTGGTCATTCTTGATGGGCAATTGGCTAGATCATAAGATAAACCCAGACACTGCGGATAGGAATCCAGAACATTAAAATCATTCTGACCTGCTGTGGTCTTTCTGAGTTCTTTGCAACTGAAAAACTGCTTGGATAAGTCAATAATAAATAAAAAAAAAAAGCGGGGGGTGCGGCTGGCATTTTCCAAGGGATGCCTTAAATGAGTGCCAAAGAGTGCCTTTAGTCTAAAACGGCTGAGAACCACAGATCTAAACTATAATAAGCAAACAGTAAGAAGACCAGAGATATGCTTCAGTGTTGCCAACCTAGCAATTTTGTCACTAGATCTAGTGACTTTGATTGGATTGTTAGTGACCATTTGTGGCTCCTAGTGACAAAACGTCTGTACTGAAGGTCCTATATCACTGTACTATGTGTGACGCTTGGAAATTATCCGGTTATTTTTTAATGACTTTAGAAAGTGTCCCTACCAAAACCTAATGACTTTTTGGAGGTTTGGTTGGCAAATTTCCACTTTCAGGAGGTAGCAACTTTGGTTTGGCAAGTGCTTCCCTTGTGTGCCTACTAAGAGATCATCAAGATCCCATCCTGTTAAGTGTCAGAGATCTCAGCCACTCATGGACTATCTTCTTTCTGTATCATTATATTCTCCTCAACAGTGCAGTCTGAGCATAGGACAGCTAGCCAACACTGGGAACTTGGGCAAGTCAGATCTGCCTTCAGCTTCCCTAACTGTAAAGTGACATGGTAACACTGACTCTGCTCACAGTTAAGTTACAACATCATGTAGCTTCAGGACATCAGACACATGACCCATGGGGTTAGCTCATCTGGGTGTGGGCCGCAGAGTGCCCTGACCCTGGCTACAGTTGGAGATTTTCCCACAGTGGCAGGCAAGTGCCTGGGCAAGAGCCATAGTACTGCAAGAGCCCCAGAAGTACTGTAGGAATAAACCTGACACCATGCTTGTTCCTGTGGCAGCAGGTAAGTGTCCGTGATAGCGGGCTTCTTCCCATGGTACTGTTGGAGCTCTAGCACCATGGCTAACCCTTGCTTGGCTGCCAAGCACCTGAGCAAAAGCAGCAGCATTGAAGTCCTAGAAGTACTTTGGGAAGAAGCCTGATGCTGCAGCTTGTTCCCACAGCAGTAGCCAAGTGCCCGGGATGCTGGGCTTCCTCCCACCAAGTCCCTGACTGGTGGGAGCAGGCCCCCCATGAGGCACCTGTCCTGGATCAGCCCTGCAGTCCTGGACTGGTTGGAGAGGGCACTGCATGCGCCAAGTACAGCATACAGGGGGGTGGAGGGGTTCACAGGTCTGATCCATTCATCTGGCCTGTGGACTCCTACCATCAGAGTACATAGCACCAGCTACATACAGCCAGGTCTCCTTTACCAAGAGATAAACATGCCTACCCACTTGCTCTCTGGCACATTCTGTCGCTCGCGCGCATGTTTTCTGTTAACAGAGTCAAGCTGTAATACACATAAGCTCTTAATGCATCAGACTGAGTTGCTGTTAATTTGTTCCAGCTATAAAGCCCGTGTACTTTAGTAACCATTAACTTGTTTCAGCTAATGGTATACATTTGTTAGCTTGTCCACCATATCCCCTAGCAGCTGCCCCTGCTTTAGCATTTCATCTTATACAAAGAAAAGAAAAAATGAAAAGAAAAAATAAAGTAAAACAAGTGCCCTTCCTACACACACACATACGTGCGTGCATGCATGATGGTTCATAGCTCACGCAAAGCTGTCTGGACTGTGTTTTTTTTCCCCCCCAAGGAAAGAAAAAAGAGAAAGCAGATCAAAGAATCTTTCCAGCTCCTTAATCTGCTGCAATGTGTTGCAATAAGAATAATGAGGGGACAGCACAGCAGGCAATAGAATGTGAGGTATTTCTGGTGCCCTGACCCAAATGTATGACTTTGGATGCACTGGGAAAAGCCAGTAATGGGGCCAAGCTGCAGACTCATCCCTCAGTGGCAGCAATGAGTTTTGTAATCCCAGCCTTCCTTCCATGAGCTACCATCAAATGTCATAAACTACAAGCCACAGACACTTCTCAGCATGAGCAGAACCTACAACAAACAAGGAGTTGAAAATTCAGCTCAGACTGGGAATCCAGCCTGCTCCTCCCTAAGTTGCATGCTGGCCTTCTGAAGCCAGGTTCTGCAGGTGCTAAGGGGATGTGGTGGGAGGGGGAGCACAAGGCCAAGGAACAAGGCTACCCACAGAGCCATCACTTTTACAGCTGCAGGTGTGACACCTTTTGAAGGAGAACTGAGAGCACATAAAAGTATTTGATGTACGTCTATCCATTCTTAGGCACTTTAAGTCCAAATCTGTTTCGGGGAACTGACTGCTGCGGCTAGCTACGTTCACAGCAATTTTCCACCTACATTTACAGCTATTCTCCACCCTGCACAGAAAGAATCCATGGGAGTCACCCAGCCTCTCCTTGCCTTGTAGTGGGGAGAGCAGGATTGCTACCAGGGCACCTCATCATCTCATGGGCAAGTATTAACTACACCGGAACCACCTCCTGTTAACAGGAGTGCCCAATCTGTATTGGTGACTCCCCTGACAACCCATGATCTATCAGAACTGTTCTCAGGAAAATTACTCCACTGCCCCAGATTGATGTGAATGTGACAGAGTCACTGGGATGCAGCTTTGTTCTTCAGATCCTGGTTGTTTTGGGTATGGTTAAGTCCTCAAGGACTAGGCTCCACCACCTGTGATTAAATGAAGCTCTTTCAAGGATGCTTTCCTAGGGTTGCTTCAAGCTTAGTTGGCCAGTCAGTGCAGGACCAGAAGCAACAGGTTAAAATCTCAGAAAGCTACAGTCATCTTTATGCCTTCCCACATACACTCAACTCCAGAGGGCAAAAGCATAACTGAGGGAGGGTGACTAGGGCAGCAGCCTCAGGTGCTGCCTGTAGTGGGGGGGAACAGCGCTCTCCCTGTGTCCTGAAGCTGCCTAAGGCATACAGCTACTCTACTATGCCTCCAGCCAAAATGGCCCCCAGCATAACTTAGCCTAAGTGATGACCTGCTCACCCATTACTTCCCTTTGGTTTGGCCTTCAGTCCAAGGCTCAGGAGGGATGTATAGCTGCATTAAGCTTTGCATGTGCTGTGGGGTCTCCCCAGTTAGACAGCAGGCTTTTGCAACTCTTCGTAGCAGTGCAGGGTCTAAATCAGTGGGGTGGGGGAGGAAGGGTGAGCAGGACACCAGCCCTGGTCACAGATTCTGAAGGGCTGCAAGAATGGCAGTAGCTGCTGCTTTCTCAGCCACCATCTGGGGCACAGAAACTGCTTGTTACACCTCTGGCTTAAGTAGGAGGAGTCAGTGGCTCCTTATATATATCTATATCTATCTATCTATATAGATTTTTTTTTTTTACATGCATTTAATTTATTCATAGAATTCTGTGACAACCGTAACAATATCCAAGTGCCTCCTGAAAAGCAATTAATTAATCCTCACCTTGTGTTTTACACAGGGAAAACTGAGGATAGCAGGGGTTATGTGACCTGCTCAAGATCACCAAGAAAATCTGTGGTAGAGACCCAAGAAAGAACCCACTTTCCCCGATTCCCTTGCTCCTGCACAATCTCTGATCCCCTTTGTGACTCAGAGCAAGTCATTTTCCTCCTCTGAGCTCTGGATACAAAATGGAGAGATTAATCCCAAGTTGTTTCACATGGAGGTTGGGAGGCTGAATTGTTATTTCTAAAGTAAGAAATATAAATAAAACACCATCCCTCCCAGCAGGACTTATCATTGATATTTTACACTTTATTATATCACACCCAAAACATACCAAATGCTTCACAGACAAAAACCTGTTCTGGGTATACATGGCCCCAGCCACAGATCATATCATCAGGTACAGCCATGAAGCTGGTGGAAAGAAGCATAAAGGAATCCCCCTTGAATACAGGAGGCTCCCCCAGGAAGGACAGGGCTACCAGAACAGGGGTGGGATTTGCCAGGGACTAGAAAGGCATGTGGCTAGAGTGCGCGGTGCTCCAGCTATTCTGAATCCAGGAGTGCCACTGGCGGGCAACTGTAAATTAGGGCAGCCCTAGGAGTTGCTGTTATTTGTTTCAGAGACTGGAACCTAGAGAATCCCTAGGAGGCAGCCTGTTCCCTGCCCTGTACCACTCCCAGCTGTACCAGCTCAGATCAGCTATGGACCAGGACTGCAGAGAGGTAGCAAGAGAGACTTCAAATTTTCTGCTAAACTTTTGATTCTCTCTCTCATGTCAGTCAAAATAGCAGAACAAAAGCATTTCTATTCATAGCCAATTTTGCAACCCCCCTTTTTAATAGCACCCTTCCCCCACTTTAGGGCTCACTCACTCATCTGGTCCCCTGAAACATTACTTACAGATGCAAAGAAAACCAGGCATAAGTAAGTGCAAAAGGATGTCACGGACATATCACCAGGGAAATTAATGCTGCCCATAAGACCTCATTTCCCCCACAAGCTCCCTTCCCTTGTAGGAGTTTCCCTTTAAAACAACGTTATAATGGAGGTTAGAGGGTTTCCAGCCTCTTAACAGCTTCTCTCCTCAGCAATGCTTGCAGTTAACCTGCTTTCTGAATGCAGAGAAACCTAGAAATAGAAGAGCGAGAATTTCCAAGACACAAACTTGTGTTCACCAAGTGTGAGCCCCTTAGTCATGCAGGGAGGAGAGGGGAGGAGGCAAACCCTCGCCACAATCCTTTGCAGTGATTTGATGCTGAAGTGCAGCTGCAAACACCACAATGCTACCACCCCCATTCCAGTTGGGCAGCACATCCCAACATCAAGTTCCATCCAAGAATCCCACAGGACACCCCACTTACACATCCTGGGAAAGGAGTACCGGCTGCTTCCTTCCATAAGCTTCCAGGTGTTCTGCATTTAAGGAGCAGCCAGCTTAGATCTGTAATACCACTACAGCCTCTCTGGGAGCCTCTCTCGGAACAGGCAGGGAGGAGGAGGAAAAAGGGGTGGGAGAGCAGATGTGAGCTTAAGACATCTGTGCAAAATCTCATTGCACTGAAGACATTACACACAGCTCTGCACCTGGTGTCTTCTAGGTTATTAGCAAGGAGGCTGCCTGTGCCCTGGGAACCTGCAACTGAAGACAGAGGGGAAGAGGAGGGGGAAGTGCTATTTACTAACATACTAAAAGAAGTAAAGCAGAGTTAACATCAGCTCTCAGGCTCTGCTGCAATGAGAGAGGGCTGGGTAACAACCAATGCAGGGGGAAGAGAAGGGAACGGCAAGGTAATGGTACAGCAGGGGTAATTAGGAGAGTTTGAAACAGTCATTTCTCCTCGCTGTACGACCCCTGGGGCCTTCTGCTGCTTGCTCCCCGTGTTCACATGTTTGCACCCTCTACTTCGCAAACATTTGTGCTCTATCCTGCGGTCCCCTACTAGGCTTCAAAACAACCAGTTCCAAGGTGTTAAAAGCCTGCACCAGCCTGTCTGCACTCAGTTCTGTAAAGTGTTAGAACTGAGTCTGGTGTACGATTCAGAAATGTGGTGTTGGCACATGACAGCTAGCACATGCTCACTACTTAACTGCCTTCGTAAAGTCTGGTGTAGATAATAAGGCAGCATGCACTTTCAGCCACACCATGCTGGCTGACATGCTTTTCTACACAGGACTTTCAATCGTGTGCCATAGCACGTTTCAGGGATACAGGTTTTAACCGTGTTGGTCTAAGAATACAATTTTTTTTGCAACTGTCTAGTTAGTGTAATAAAAGATACTGCCTCTAGCACACTGACTACTTGTAGCACATGTTCACAGGTTAACTCCAGGTCTTAAGTCCTTCCTACTCCAAACAAAGCCTTAGGTCAGCTCACCCTAGCCAGAATAAACACACAGATCACAGCTCTCCTCTTCCCAGCTCAGGCTGACTTTAACCAGCCCTTCTGCAACATCGGGTAGGGAGGCCAGCAGAACAGAGCCATACTTTAGGGGAAATCTACAGTATTTTGTTCCCTTCAAAGCTTTGTCTTCTCCTGAAGACTAAATAAAACAATCAGTTGCCCAGGAAGTGCTGTTTGTCCTTCACACCAGGAGCCACTCAGGACAGGGAAGTATGAGCCTCAGATGTAGTGTACCCAGTGAGACCCAGTGATTGACCCACTGGTGAGACCCAGTAATTCAACAGAGCAGTGGTTCTCCACCTTTTGCAACTCAGGGCACCCACTATTAGAATCAAGACACTCTTTGTAAAATGCCAGCTCTTAGCTTTCACTTGTTTTTTTGACTATAGAAAAATACTAGAGAAATTCTTTTGTTGCAGAGAATTCAGAAAGACCACAATGGTCAGAATGCTTTTGACACTCGGAACTTCTCTTTGAAATCTCTCAATTTATCTTGTGAATCAGGTGGATCATCAAGATATTTGCACACCTAACAGTGCTAGTATTGTGTAGCACCCTTAAAAGAAACTCATGACATCCCAGGGTGTTCTTGCAACTTGGTTGAGAATCCTTGCATGAGACAGATGGAGTTTGCAAGAACAGAACATCAGCAAAACAACCCATGCAGGTTGATTTTTACAGCTGGTCCTTGAAAAGCAGCCAATAATCCAAGGGTTCTTTCCCCTCCCCCCAACCTTGTGAACACGCAACAGCAAAACTAGAAGTTTTGGCTGTTTGCATTTTTCTTTACAAAATTTCTGGTTTTCATATAAAAACAAAGAAAAAGAAAAATCAATTAAAAAGTTGCTGAACACCGCCCCCCCCCTCTGCTTTTTGTGGCTTAAATCTCCAAACTTTTAATGAAACTGGAAATTTTTCACCAAAAACATTTAGTTCTATCACAGAGCCGTTTTTCATTAAAAAGTGGTGGTGAAAAGTGCGCAGCCAGGTTGACTAACAAAACACATCTCAGATGTTAAAGAAAACAGGCAGGCTTCACCCTGTACTGACTACAATGCAGACACTCAGTCCAGCCTGCTGCTGCCCTGCCTCTCAAAACCATCCAGTGACTCTGATCCCAAGAGTTCACTTAGTCCTAGGCTAGCAGGTGCTCATGCAAAATGGAGAGCATAGGGACAGTGAAGGGCAGCTACTGACATGGCCAGAGACAAAAGACTCCCCAGAAAATGCACAGAATGGAAAAGAGGGGGGGAAGGGGAATGGTTCCAGCACACACCTACTTCCCTAAAGAAACTGTTGAGTCTGATAAATCATGGGGAGAGTTTTCAAAACGTGGACACTTGTGCATTAAGAACCAGATGGAGGTATGCCTTCCAGCTCACCGCAACTCATTCTATGACTGCCCCATGAGAATAACTTTCAGTTAACTGCTGGCCTGCAGCTGGATTTAAACCATTGAGCTACCCCAGAGAGTCCTTCTTCAAAGGGACAGAAGCATCTACCTCCTGAGAATGGCTCCTCTCTACAGGAGCCAAGAGAGGATGCCCTGCTGAGTGTTTTATGCCTAATCCCCTCCACTTACATGTGCCTTTTACAGGAACCCCTTTGATTTTTACAATAGAAATCAGGCAGACCCATTTGTCCAGTGAAAAGGGAAGAAGCCTCCTGGTCCAGTGACTTCCCCACACCCAGCTGCTCTTTGTTTTTACTCCTGACTCAGCCCCAGGGCAGGAGGGTTTTCAACTGTGTTGACTAAGATAATTTGGCACTTCTCAAAAGGAAATTTGCTACAAAGGGTAAAGTACCTTCCTGTGCACAAAGAGCCCCTTTCAGAGAGGAATGATGCTTCACTGCACGTTTCATACCCACAGATCTGACCTCAGCCAAGGACAAAGCCAGAGACAAGAAGGCTTAATTGCTGAAGAAATGAAAAGGTAAAAAGCACATCTGCAGGCAGAATGACTCTGCTACTGACACAGCCTACAGCCACCACCCGGGAAGCACACTTCACACATGACCAGCTCTCATCTGGCATCAAATGCCCACAGGGCTTTCTTCCCTGGGTTTATTGCCTGGGCACCCCAACCTGAAGCCTTCACCCACTGCCTGTGACAGCACAATTAGTTATTGCTGAGAACAAAGATGAGGACAAACATCAGGAAGAGAGAGGTGACAACTGTAGGCTGGGAATGAGGAGTGGGAGCAGATGGGCTCTGAGGAAAGTAAGACTATTTTCATGCAAGAATCCCTAGTTATAAACCTGATGGAAGAACAAAAAACACAGAGCTTTCCAGGGCATGGACCTTCTCCAAAGGGCAAGAACAGCTTTGGGGCAGAAATTAAGCTGAGCCCAGTTAGGTCGTACCTAGCCCATCCACGCCCAGAGCCCAGTGAAAGGCTAAGTTGGGCATGATGTTCTCTATAAGGCTTAGTCCAAGCCAGGCTGAGTGACATAAGCAACAGGGCTTCCATTATTTCTAGTCTCTTTGCAATTTCCGGTAAGGACATTTTCCTTCATTCTCAGCCTATATTTTCTTGTGGTTCCTGTCATTCTACAACAGATGAGAGCCCCCCTAGTCAGTCCCTCCCTTACCCTCTGGGGTTCATCTCTTACAGATAGTGCTACATAGGCACTACGTAACTACCCTTTTAAGCCTTCCTCACAACTCAATCTGTCCAGCTACTTGAACAGAGGGGAGGATTGAATTAAATCTTTGATTTTAATCATGATTTAAATCAAGAAGCAGGAAAACTTCATTGTAATCATTGACTTCAATCTTGTT